TGTACTTCAGTACTAGACTTCTCCTCTACTACTTGAGCTAGATATCCAGCCTGGACTTTTTTTTGTTATTTTGGAGGTGGAATCTTTATGGACTTTTCTGCCTGGACAAGTCTCAAAATTTGATCCTCCAGATCTCAGACTGATAAGTATCTAGAATCACAGACACGGACCACTGGTATCTGCCTCAAGAAAGGCTTGGAGGTAGAGAAAAGAATGAAGAACCATATAATTCTATATACATTTAACTTCCTTTAGTAACAATAGTATTGTGTGGGATCTAAAGTATACATAAATCATATGCATAGTGGCGATAGAAAATAAGTCAGAATGATCAAAAGTGAGAGTCCCATCTCAATTTTATCAAGGCTCTTCAATGTAAAAATAATCACTATTTTCATATCAGTACCCAGCAAATGGGAAATGATGTTTAAAATATCAAACATCTGGGGGAAAAAAATCTTACAAAGATGTGCCAGAGGTACCTAGATAAGGCACTGAAGTGAATTAAAGACTTAAGCCAATGGAGAGATAAGAGACACAGAAATTGGCAGAATCATGATGTCACTTTCCACTGAATTAATTAATGCAGTCATAAATACAAAGCCGATGAAAATTAATGATCCGATTATAAAATTTATAAGGAAATAAAGAAAAGGGCCAGGAATACATAGAATAAAAAGTAGAGAGCACGAAGGATCTGTTCTACTTAAAGGAGATTATGCAGCAGTGAGTACTGTGATTTACCACAATGAATAAATAAAACAATGGAGCAGAATATCAAATTCAAATTCAGAGCCATTGGATACATCCACAACTTATAACAAATGTGTTCCTGTAGGGTAATAAGAGAAGGAAAATGACCACTGGCTCATAGCATACTCCATTCACAAAAATTAAATAAAAATGAGGGGGACTATTGATCCCGATCTATAAATATGAAAAAGGCATACTTTTGTAACACATACACAACTTGCATCTGGGTTGGCCACTGATGGCTCACACCTGTAATCCTAGTTACTCAGGAGGTTGAGATCTGATCACTGCAATTCAAAGCCAGACCTGGTAGGAAAGTCTGTGAGACCCCCCCCTCTTTTTTTTTTTTTTTTTTGGTTAGTCGTGAGGCTTGAACTTTCGGTTTTCTAGTGGTTTATTGGAGATAAAAGCCTCACAGACTTTCCTGCCTGGGTTGGCTTTGAACTGCAATCCTCATATCTCAGCCTCCTGAGTAGCTAAGATTATAGGCATGAGCCACCGGCACCCTACTCTGTGAGACTCTTATCTCTGCTAAAGTACCACAAAAGCCTTGGAAATGGAGCTGCAACTCAAATAGTAGAGTGCTAGCCTTGAGCAAAGAAAGCTCAGGGACAGTACCTAGGACCAGAGTTCAAGCCCAGGGACCTGCACCAAAAACAAAACAAAAGCCTAAAAATAAACACCCAAAACAAACAACAATCTTGTGTCTATAATAAAGTATCAATAGATAAGAATAACAGAAAATACATCGTGATTTATATCAACAGATCGCCAAAGAGGATCACCAAATAGACCATCAGGTAAGGTCTTAACCTGACTTGGAACCAGAGAAATGGAAATGAAAACTAACTGTAAGAGGCACCTCACAACCAGCACCCAGCAGAACACTTCCCTCCAGCATTGGCTGGGATGTGAGGCAGACAGAACACTCAACCATTAACTGAGTCCATGTAACTGAGAATGATCCTTCTAGAAATCGGTCTGACACATCCAGTTAAGTTTCAACTATCATCATTGCACTTCTAGGCAGAGCAATAACACGTGTGTATGCATGTATTCACAGAAAGTCGTACAAGAATGTTCATAGCAATATTGCTGATACTTGTGCAAATGAACAGAGTGGGAAAAGCATTGTGGGTTTATTTACATATTACAGTAAGGAAAATAGGCGAACCATAGAGACACAGTATAAGACTGAGGTAAAGAATCACCAAACAATGCCAAACTCTCATCCTATGGAAAAGGTTAAAAACTAGGCAACATCATTAGCTAAGAAGTGATAAGATAGAGATTAGAAGCTGTTTGGGGGTGATTAGACAATTGTTTGCTTACTGATTACTTAGTTGTACATTTATATTTCTAACATTTTCCTGTATGTGAACATAAATAAAAGCTATACAGATTGTTATTAAAGTTATAACAACTTTTGTATGGAGCCAGATGTCTGTGGCTCACGCCTAGCTACTCAGGAGGCTGAGATCTGAGGATCAAGGTTCATAGCTAGCCCAGGCAGGAAAGTCCAAGAGACTCATCTCTAATTAAGCACTAAAAAAGTCAACAGTGAAATGTGGCTCAAGCAGTAGACTGCTTGCATTAAGCAGAAAAGCTCAGGGATAGCGTTCAGGCCCTGAGTTCAAGTACCAGGACTGATATACACATCTACCCAGCCCTCACACAAATGCACACACACAAAACCCAAGCTGGTGTGGTGGCCCACATCTCTTAGCAAGAAGAGGTAAAGGGAAGATAATCAAGGTAAAGCCCTATCTGAAAAATAAACTACACCAAATAACAGTTAGGGCATGGTTCAAGTGGTACAGCACTTCCCCAGTGGTAGAACAATTCCGATTATTCCTAGAATTAAGTGCGTTGCTTAACTAATTAGAGCCTATTAGACAGTCTACCAACTGAGATTTGACAATTTACTTAAAATTGTCACATATTCTTGATGAATTGCAATCAGTTTGCTTTCAGGACATTTAAACGAATGGTTGTGTTGTTTTTTTTGACACATCCCAATTAACATGTAGATTAATTTGTTTCATTAGAAATCAGATACGTAAAAAAAAATCCTATGCTTTCATTCCTGTTTGAATCATTACTTTTAATTTCACTCCTCAGAAAATTATGCTGTGATAGTTGCCTTATTTATTTTTCTGAGAGAAAACCAACTGAGCGCTGGATGTTTAACTCGCCGTGCTCAAAAGTGCAGTTCAGTAAACCAAATTCCCCCAGTATTCTCCAGGTTAATACTTTTCAAATTGTGATGCAAAGAATTTCAAATATCTAGCCTATTTTAGATGTAGATGACAGTGAGCACACAGCATGGAGTCTCAGATCTGAGGGCTGGCAAGGTGTAGGATTAAGGGAATTTATTCTTTCTCTGTTTCCTTTTATCCTTTGTTTTTCAATTTCTTCTCCCTGTTCATTCTTAGAAAGTCTATCCATGCATGTTTCCAGGTCTGTACTAACCCTCTAGCTGTAGTTCCCAATGAATACTCTGAGAATTTACTTTATAGACACTTTCATTAAAAGTACAGCTCTGGCTGGGCACTGGTAGCTCACATCTATATCCTAGTTCCTCAAGAGGCTGAGAGGTGAGGATCATGGCTCAAAGCCAGCCCAGGTAGGGAAGTCTGTGAGACATCTTATTGCCAATTAACCAACCCCCAAACTGAAAATGGAGCTGTGGCTCAAGTTATAGAGCACTAGCCTTGAGTGAGGGGCAGCCCCCCGACCATGAGTTCAAGCCCCAGTACTGACACACACAGAAATAATATACAACTCTGGATCAAGTAGTAATGTTGATATTCGTTCCAGATACCCCCAAAAGATCCAGCAGATTTAGAGGACAGACCTTATACAAACACTCTATTCTCTTCCTTCTCAGTTACCATCCCAACAGAACCTATATTTGAGGTTTTGGTATTTGTGAGAATCCCAAGTACAAATACATTGACACCCCCAACACATCTCTTGAATAGCTGATATATGTAAATCAGAGTCAGAATACATGACAGTTGAGCTGACACCAAATGCGACTCAAAGAGACCCACCGACAGACGATAGCTAGGACCAGGTGGGTGTCAGTAGCTCACGCCGGGAATCCTAGCTACCCAGGAGGCTGAGATCTGAGGATCCTGAAGTTGACTATTGTCAGAGGGGGAGGAGTGGGAAGGGAGATCAATCAGTAGAGCAATCTCCAGCATAAAGCAAGGTGGGGCAGAGAGTGGTAAGGAGTGAGCAGAGCAGGGCCCTCCAAAGGGACGGGTATTATTGAAATCCCAGGTACGGTAAGTTGCTATGAACAAAAACACCTTCACTAGAATAAAAGGCACTGGGGTGAAATGAACCAGAGCAGGTGCCAGGCAAAGCAGCAGCTGGTGGCTGTAGGTTGGAAGGATTCAATCCACAGCTTTTGTGAGGACATACTAACTTCATGCTGATCTCTACCTTCTGGTTGTTATCTGAGCATAGGGCCAGCTCTGGCCTTCATGTACCATGTCAACCCTGAGTTTGTGAACTCAGCCCTACCAAGCACTTTCCTTGATCATCTCCATTGTACCCCCTCCCCCACACACTGCCACGCTCAGCCTTCAGTAAGAAGGCAGAGCCACGGAAAAAGCATCATGAGTCATACATTTTTATGCAGTAGTAATTCAATTAACACCTCAGGAAGTACAGACAGAAGGTATTGCTCCCATCTTTGGGTAGGTGAAACAAACAAAAAAATACACAATGAAGACCAAGCTAGGACAGCCTTAAGTGGAGACTCTATCAGGAGAAAAATGTCTAGAAGCAAGACTATGAGAAGCTACTATCCTGGCTACTAAGGCTGCCTGTGATCATGCCCAGGGTTGTTAGAAGATGTTGACTTCTTGGACCAAGACCCACCACTCCTGGCCTCCCCTTTCCCTTCCTCCTTGTGTCTATGGTCATTGTCAGCCTCTTGTCTAGATGCGGGGAGAGGGGAGGGAGGAGCAGGGGAGAATCAAATACGGTCTGGCTACATTGACCTCTGTTCTTTGACCCTTTCCATAACAAGCCCCAGAGAGCATCTCCTTCTTAGGCTGACTTCTCCATCAAGAGGTATTGATCCTTTTTAGAGATGGACACAAGGGTTTGGTGCAGAGGTGAATGGAAGATGGCGGTGCTCCCATAAGACAGTGGCCATGTCTTTCATTCAGAATGCGTCATTCCAATGTGACCATGGTCCTGAAGGGACCTCAAGTGGACCCGAAACTCACCAGTGGCGAAGACAACATTCCTCGAGACCAGGCGGTGCTCCACGATGGAGAACTGGGGGAGCTCGATCCTTTCCACACCCGTGACAGCCTTGTCCCCGCCACGCCAGTAAAATTCAATGTCATCCGTGGTGTAGCCATCTACCAGGAGAGAAAAGGAAGGAACATGGCAGACGTGAGACGGTCATCATTTCATAGAAAATCACAAAGCCAAAGAAACTCATCAAGGGCTGGGGATGTGGCTCAGTGGTTAGAGTGCTTGCCTAGCACGTAGGAAGCCCTAGGTTCGATTCCTCAGTACCACATTCACAGAAGAAGAAACTCATGGAATGGAAGCAGCAGCTCAGTCATATTTGAAGATTGGTTTAGTGGGCTTGTCTGTAACAAGCGCCACCCAAGAATGAATTTTCAAGTGTCATCTTTTGTGTTCACTGTGTGGTTTGGTTGGTACCAGTTTGGTCTTGAAAGGGACAGCCACCAAGGTAAGATGGGACGGAGGGGGTCTGGCTAGACTTGCATCTGTAGAGAACAGCCGTAGGGCTGGCCCAGACATTATATAAAGGAGATATCTTGACGGGAATGAATAAGACAATGGCAAGAAAAGATGAGAACTCAAGTAGAAAGGATAAGAAACGGTAGGGGCTCAACAGGAGCTGGGAGCTGAGTTACCTAGCCAGTGATTGATGACATAAACTCTCCAAGCAAAACCAGCGCTCTCCTTTGTGTGTGGGGGGTGCTTCATCTACTCTCTCTGGCCGTGAGGTCTGCTCACCAGAGACGTGCCATTGTGTGTGTGTGCGTGTGTGTGTGTGTGTGTGTGTGTGTGTATGTGTGTGTGTGTGTCGTAAGGCTTGAACTCAGAGTCTGGGCACTGTCTCTGAGCTCTTTTGCTTGAGGCTAGTGCTCTACCACTTCGAGCCACAGCTCCACTTCTGATTTTTCTGGTGGTTCATTGCAGATAGACTTTCCTACCAGGGCTGGCTTCGAACCAGATCTCAGCCACCTGAGTAGCTAGGATTACAGGTGTGAGCCACCAGCACCCGGCTCAACTTTATTTTTTACACCCAGGAGTCTCCCAAAGGGGTGAGATTAGCTTTTTACAGCAAGCTCAATTAAAACATCAAAATGCATGTGAGGAAAAAATACCATACAATCGAATAGATTTTGGGATATGAATGTATCCAATTGAAAGGTAGACAAATGAACCAGAGGTGTAGGGGACATCTGTATCTGTCTCCACAATGAAGGCTAGCTCTTTGTGGAAGTCTGCTGTCATCTTTGTGCAAGTGTGTGTGTGTGTGTGTGTGTGTGTGTGTGTGTGTGTGTGTGTGTGTGTGTGCCAGTACTAGGGCTTGAACTCAAGGCCTGTTCTTGCTTGGGTTTTCCACTGAAAGGCTAGCACTGTACTATAAGAGCTACAGGTCTGCTTCCAGGAATTTTTTTTTTCCTGCTTCATTGGAGATACACGTCATCATGAACTATCTATTATAATTCAAGCTTGCAATCCTCAGATTTCAGCTTCCTGGATAACTAAGATTACAACTATGAGGCACCAATGCTTTGTTACAACCATCTTTAATAAAACAAACACCTGGCCGTGCTACTGCTCTATGCTTTGAGTTCTCAACTGCTTCCCAGTACAGCTGATTAACAAAAAAATAACAACCCAAATCTGAACTCCTCATGAGGAGCTTATGGACCTAGGGTCCTGGGTCCTGGGTACCTCTTCTCACCTCTCACTTACCAGCCCTGCCCCACCGGTCTCCTTCAGTTCTGGCTAGGCCTCTATGTCCTCTGAACATCTACTGTGTGTGGCTCTTCCTTCTTGGGGTTTGTATGTACACTAGTGCACTTCAATCTTTCTGGTAAAACGTATAATCACCCCCAGCCCTTGTAGCAAACTGTAGTTCTTTCAAAACTTCTATTCGTTTCCTGCCTTTTCTAGAAAAGAAGCTCTGTGAATGTAAGCATTATATATAAATATATATACATATGTATTCAATTATTTTCTTTAAGTCATTGTACAGAGGAGTTGCCATTTAACAGAGCAGTTTATGGATACAGTACCTCTTGATCAATGTCACCCCTTTCAACCCTCTTACCTGCCCCTCCCATCCTACCCCTTCCCTCACTTCTCTTAATTTTCAGGTTATGTATTGAAATTTTTGGCATTTCACAAAGCAATTTATGTATAAAATGCACCTTGGTCTGTGCTTCCCTTCCACATCTTCACCCCCTTTCCATCTACCCCTTACCTTATTTTTCTCAGTTCTGTAGCATAGACAACACATGCTTGCCTGCATCCCACTCATTTCTCCCATTCCTTCTTCTATGGTTCTCCTCTTGACCCACCCCTCACCCCTCGCAAATACTCATTTCTCAGTGCTCATTATGTTGGGCTTTGACTTAGATGAATCTAGAAGTCAGCACACTGGGTGGCACCCAAGCAATTACAAATGAATTAATTGTAGTATAAGAGAATCTATGGAGAGCACAAATAGTACAATTCTTTAGAAAGACTATGTCTCCTTTATATATAATTCTGCTAGCACAGTGTCTGCCTAGGAGCTGTGGGTAGAGCCCAATAGCAGAGATCTTGTTGCATGTGCAAATCTCTGGGCCCAGGCACTAAAAATGAATGAAAACACAACTGAAAAACAGAACAAAACAACAACAACAACAACAACAAAAGACCCAGTGCTTGCAAGGAGCTCAAGATTCTCTACATATTTGTTGGATAAATCCATGGATCAATGAATTTGTCCTGGAAAGAAGGACAAAAAAGCTACATACTTTGTTTCTCCATTCCCAATGGAGATATGAGTAATAGCCAGGCCACCCAAAAATTGGACTTTCATCTCAAATGCTTTTTTTTTTTTTGTCAGCTGTGGGGCCTGAGCTCAGGCCTGGGTGCTGTCCCTCAGCTCTTCAGCTCAAGGCTAGCGCTTTACCACTTGAGCTACAGCACCACTTCCAGCTTTTTCAGCTTATGTGATGCTGAGGAATCGAACCCAGGGCCTCATGCATGCAAGGCAAGCGCTCTACCACTGAACCACCTTCGGGGTTGGGGCATTGCACATTGAGGGGAAGCGGTCTCTGCTCTGGTAGATCTTTCTGCATGTCGTACTCTGCATCATAGCAAAGGATGCTGTATGGTCAGACATCACTATCTGTCCAGGCAGTCCCAAGAGGAGCTGCTTCCTTACTTAGACCCTGTGTTTGCCTTTCCCATAGCTTCATCGTCTCATTGGACTCATGCCTTCTGGCCACGCAGAATCTATTTAACTTCCCAAGATAGTTCTTCAACTGCTGGGAGCCATCATCTCTCCCCTGAGTCTGCTGTTCTCTTTGGTAAATGTCCCCAGATGATTCAATTATGCATCACTCGACATGATTTCAATTCCTCATTCTCTCGAGAGCAAGACTCTCAGAAAGCATGGCAGGTAGGCAGTGGCTGAGCGCATTCACGACCTGGAGACCAGCTTCCCAAGGGGCCATCTCTCCATACTTTCACATACACCTTCCCTCTTCGCCTCAACTATTTCCAGCAACACTGCCATGTTACAGTCATTGAACCACCCCAAGGTTCAGTGGGATCATTTACAACTTTTCCTCTAAGAGATCCATAGTGAATCACGCTATAACAGGTCAGGGGGGACAGGAAGGATGCCTGTTTGTTAGACACTACAGATTCAGCTCGGCACTAAATTACCAATAAAGCAGCTGAGCTGCTATTGGTGGCTCATGCCTGTATTCCGAGCAAATCAGGAGGCTGAAACCTGAAGATTGCATTTCAAAGCCAGCCTGGGGAAGATAAGTCAGTGAGACTCTTCTCTCTAACTTAACCACCCCAAACCTGGAAGTGGAGCTGTGGCTCAAGTAAAAGTGAAGAGACAGTGTTCAAAACCTTGAGTTTAAAGCTGTAACGCTGGCACACATGAAAAAAAAAAGTTAAAAAAAACAACCCCAAAACCAATCCTGCATCTGAACCACCTCATAAATGGAAGCAAATTGCCGAGATGCAGAAACGGCTCCCTTATAAGTTGGAGATCCTGAAGGGAAATGAGTTCTGCTTGGACTGCTAGAGGTCTCAGCGGTTCAGCCACTCATGCGTGATGAAGCATATTGTAAGAAAATTGCATCACAGTGTTTGCTCTTGTCTCGCTGAATGGACTGAGACAGGGAGCATTTGTTTTCTTATATTTTAGCACAGCAAACAGACGCCCATAATCAGATTAGAATAAAGGAGTCTTTTGTAGAGTCTGTCTGTCATTATCTCTCTATTTCTCTGTATCTCCCCATCTCTGTGTGTGTGTGTATGTGCGCACACACACGCGCGCATCTCTTGTACATATGTGTATGTTTCTATCTCTATCTTCCTCCCTCTGTTGACAAGCTAACTCCTAGAGTTTAGTTAAACCTACTGGGAAATCAAACACAGGGTTTTATGCATGCTAGGCAAGTACTCTACCACTGACCTACAACCCCAGTCTAATTGTTTTTTTAATTATTAATAAGTTTTTTTATTGTGAAAATACCATACAGAGGGGTTACAATTACATGAGCAAGGTAATCAGTACATTTCTTATCAAGCATTGTTGCCTCCTCCTTTGTTTCCCCTACCATCCCTGCCCTCCCATCTTCCCCACCCCCTGCCAAAGTTTAAAGTTTGTTTTTCAACAGCGTCTTGTACATTTCATTGTTGCAATGGGTCCACCTGTATCCCTATTTAAGCAATTTGTTTTTTCCCTTTCCCTCCCCAAATTATACCAACATCAAATACAATGAAAACAGGGGTTATTCTTTTAAGACAACATTTTTATTTTCTTCTAAATTCTAAGCAAGTCAGGCACTGGAAGTTCACTCCTGTAATCCTAGCTCAGGAAGCTGAGATCTAAGGATTGTGGTTCGAAGCCAGCCCAAGTGGCAACAAAGTCAGTGAGACTCCAATAGTTTTTATCTCCAATAAAAACTATTCAGGAAAAGCAGGAAGTGGTGCTGTGGCTCAAGTGGTAGAGCACTAGCCTTGAGCACAAAGAGGCTCAGGGACAGTGCCCAGGTCCTGAGTTCAAGCCCCAGAACCAGCAAAAGTATAACAACAACAACAACAAATGAATGCTGAGCAAGAAAATTATGTTTGTTCTATGGGAATCTTTATTTCATATGAGCCCAGTGTTCAGCTGATTACTTCATAGTTTAAAACTGCAAACAAACAGATTCATCTATTATCAAGTTAAATTTCTTTTGGGAGAACAGTGCTGAGGTTGAAACTCAGGACCTTGAAATCACTAGACAGTGGCTCTACCACTCAAGCCATGCCTCCACGCCTGGTTTTCTGCCACTTATTTTTTTCCCACGGTCGTGGGGCCTGAACTCTGGGCCTGGGTGCTGTCCCTCAGCTCTTCAGCTCAAGACTAGTGTTCTTGAGCTGCTTCCAGCTTTTTCTGCTTATGTGGTGCTGAGGAATCGAACCCAAGGCCTCATGCATGCAAGGCAAGCACTCTACCACTGAGCCACCTTCCCAACCCTCTGCCAGTTATTTTTATGAGACAGAGTCTTAATTTTCCACTGGGGAGTGCACCTGCACTGTGGTGTGCCTACTTTAGGCCTCTCATGGTTGCTGGAATTACAAATACACACCACAGAGCAAGGCTATGGATGGAGAGGGAGGTCCCACAACCTTTTCTCCCGAGGTCCTAGCCTCATTTTTCTTTTAAGAGAATTGAAATGTACGTCAAGAACCTGAATGCCTTGCGAAAAACCAAAGCGAACTCATGACCAAAAGACCTTAAAGCACAGAGGGGAAGAGAAAGAAACCCAGACACAGATACACACAGCTTTCAATCTCCAGGGTGCAGTTCTGCTCGTCCAGTGGGTACCTCCGGAGGTCCATCATACACGCTGCTGTCGTGGTGATTCTGAAACACATAGAGCCCAAGGGATGTCAATGACGAAACAGCTGTGTGGGTTCCTCTTCCCCACAGCATGCCTGAATACTAATCTTCTCTTACAGCATGCACGAATGTCCTTGAAAGAGAAATTTGCTCTTCCAATACACTACTAAAGACCCAGCTTTATCCATAAAATGAAACACCATGACACTTTCATTTCATTTAAATATTTTAATTGACTTTTTTGTATGTCTATCGTGTACAATAAGTCTTTTAAAGCATGTATATGCCAGGTGCTGGTGGCTCACACCTTGTCATCCTAGCTATTCAAAAGGCTGAGATATGAAGATCGTGGTTCAAAGCCAGCCTGGGAAAGGAAAGTCTGTGAGACTCTTATCTCCAATGAACCACCAGAAAACCAGAAGTGGCGCGGTGGCTCCAAGTGGTAGAGAGCTAGCCTTGATCAAAAGAACTCAGGGGCAGTGCCCAGGTTCTGAGTTTATGTCCCATGACAACCACCACCACCACCACCCATAATAATAATATTAAACATGTATATGTCAAGGAATGGCCTTAACGTAGGAACCACTATACATACTTATATTTTTGTGTGTGTGGCACACTCTTAAAATTGATTCTCTTAGAATGTATAGAATACATTATCAACTAGCAGCACCATATCCAATAACAATTCTTTTAAACCCTTTCCAATTGTTACTTGAGTTCTTTGGAGTTTGGCTAACCAAGGGTTTCTATGGAAAATGCGTACATTCCATTTGATTTTGTCTCCTTCTCTGTTGGGTCCCTAATACAGACAGAATTTCCTCATGGGGTAAGAGATTCAGTTAAGATTGCGTTCTTTGCTTTTTCCATGTGGAGGGTTTTGGGGTACTGACATGTCCACAGGCTGTACTTTGGAACTTGGAATCCAGCTTTTTTCTTATTCTTATTATATTATAGTTATCTATTGGGTTGAATTCTTACTAGAGCCCCATCCCCACCCCCTATGTGATGATCAATAATTTCAAAGAGAATATCTGGTTTTTCTGTTATTCATTATGAATCAAAATCCAGGGAGTTAACTTTCCCCAGGGTCATCTACCTGCATGGAAGGAATTTATACCATGATCTAAAGCCAGCCAAGTTTCCAGCAGACCAGCCATATGTGAAGCCAGCCATGTGTGGAGACACCACACCTCTAGAAGCAAGTGGTCTTCACCTTGTGCTTTCTGTCTCCCTTAGGAAAAGCAATTGGCACGCAACAATTAAGCCATTGTGAATTACGCTGTCTTTCTTTAGAATCCCAACCTTTCCCGACCATTGGAGAAGCTGACTAGACTGGAGTGAAACTCTGAATCAAGGACCACTAACCATTAGCTAACTGGTCAGAAAAAGATGGCTTGACTGAATTGAAGGGAAGAGGGAAGCTAAAGGGATTCTCTCACGGAAATCATTGTGAGGGGGAAGGAAGGGGAGGGGAAGCTCCATCATACAGAGACTTTAAATGTCATTCTCAAGCTGGAGAGCAAAGCATGAAACCAGAGGTAGAAAGAACAGACTAATGGTGGAGGAAAGGGATGGCCACGTTGGTTCATATATGCAGGTAACAGCATCCTCCAAGCTCAGGTAGGAGGTGTGTTCTGGGTGGTCCTAGAGTCTTGGTTACAGCCACTCAGAGGAGGATGGCAAGATGTGTTACGGAAACAGCCCTGATTAAACATCCTTCAGTGAATGAGTGGACCAAGAGAATGTGAGATATATGTGTGTGCGTGTGTGTACACTGTGTGTTTATGACATATTACATATCAGTTATACACACAGGCACAATGTTATTTTATTCATGCATCAGAAATAATAAAGTGTCACTTGCAGGATGGATATGAAAAAAATTATGTTAAAGGGCTGGGAAGCTGGCTCAGTGGTAGAGTGCTTGCCTCGCATGTATGAGGCCCTGGGTTCGATTCCTCAGCACCACATAAGCAGAAACAGCCAGACATGGCTCAAGTGGTAGAGTGCTCGCCTTGAGCAAAAGCAGCTCAGGGACAGCGCCCAGGGCTGAGTTCAAGCCCTAGGACTGACAACAACAAAAAATATGTTAAGTGAGAGACAAATGGTGCATGTTTTCTCTCACATGATTATAATCTAAATTATAACTATATCTGGGAACACACACAGAATCATATGTAGATATACACAAACTGACTGAGGTATAGTATATACTTAGGAAAGTTGAAACATGAATTGCCAGCTGGTGGGATGGGTTGGGGGGGGCAGATGAATGGAGAGAGAAAGAAGGGGCAAATGCAGGCATAATATTCAACATATTTGTGTGAAAATCGAACTAGGAGAAAAGAGGGGATGGGTGAGATCTGGAGAGATGGGGCGAAGGATGACAGGGGTGACCTTGATCAAGACGCGCTGTGCTCATAACTGCCACTGGCTGTACTCATATACTGACACGCACTGTGCTCATATACTGACACGCGCTGTGCTCATATACTGACACGCGCTGT